AACGTCCAGCACTATTTTATTCTTAAAGATGTGCTTGTTGTTATGTTTCTGGAGATACATTGCCAGGCTGAAAAGTAAGACATACAGTAACTGCTTAATGCTTAAACTCAACCACCTTGGACAATGATAGAAAAGCGAAATTGCACTGTAATGAAATCATCTTTCTTTCAGCTTCAGTCAGTCTAAAAAAACTGCTTTGGAAATTCAAGGTTAACCTTCTGAAAGTAGGAGCAGCTCCAGAACAAAATTTTAGCACTGGTAAAATGTTACAAGTGAGACTTCCAGCCATGTTATGCAGGTGGAATATTAAGCAGTTCATATAAAAGGTGGAGGTCGCACACTATAAGCATGATAAATTATTTCCATTACAGATTTAATAGAGTTTGGAGTGCATTGTACCCCTGTAGTAGCCCATGTCCACACTGAAAGATTTCCACTCATTTATTTGGTCCAATTAGAAGCTCATGCATGGAAAGCAACAGTGACCGGTTTTGATGAGTCTGCTGGACCAAAGCTCGCCTCGGTTTCCAGCTGCTCRTCCTCGGCAGACCCGCACAATTTTTCACAGTCAAGTTTCACATCAGCTCCCACCTTGTGTTCACACTGCTGCAACTTTAACCTGTTGAGCATCTCGTAATGAGAGATGATTACCATAAAACGAGCTTGAGTTGTTGATATTATGCAAGATTACATTTGGATAAATCCCCATGGCTAAGCTCTACTGTCATATCAATTGATTTGTGTATTTTGTTTACAATTGCTTCATTCTGTTTTGCCTAAATGTAACGTTTGAATTAATCACACCCACGCCCAGCTTACTGTTTTTCTTTTCTTTTTTTCATGAATGTCCACGAACAAAAGCATGTTTTAGAAATCCTGTAGCTTATATAACATGTTTATATCCCCAAAGGCATGAGACATTTCATTTAATGTTTTCCTTCCTCAAAGCAGTTTTGAACACAAAAGGATCAATTTTCTGACAAGCAATACTTTATCCCTTCCAAAAAAAGAAAAAAAAAACCACAACACCACATGTACCAATTCTAGATGTATTTTTTTTTATATAATCCAGTTCTGAAATTACAGGATTCAAGCTGAGCATGCTGTTTTACCTGAAATTAAAATAGTTTTTCAAATGCTAATCTTAAGCCTTTCAGGACAAAAATAACAAATACGTTTTTGTTGTGACATTTCCTTCAATGCATGAGCAAAGTTAAAGGGATAGTCTAGTCAGCTCTGAAGAGATGGTCTGACAAATAGTTAATACTACTTTAATAATACTTTATTGGTCATGATATTAGTCCTAGAGCAAAAATTATTGAGAAAAAGTCAATTTACACAAATGGCTGGCCAAAGACCTGCAACATACTATATACTGTGTGTATATATATATATATATATATATATATATATATATATATATATATATATATATATATATATGCCTATAAAACAACTCTTCTTCATACATGCTGGTGTAAAAGTAATGCTATATTAGATCATTTTAAACCTCTACGTTTTTGCAGGACACTATTTGCTTAGTTTGTTGCTGTTTTCTCAACCAATGTCTGTGACTTTGCAAATGTACCTGTGTGGAGCAAAGATAAACTGTATATTCCAATAGAGCCAAGGCTGCTGAGAGGAACATCTGCCAAGAGTYGAGTAAACATTTGACTGGCTAGATGCGGTGATCAGGTGGGAAAATATATTCAGCAGCATCATAATTCATCTAATTATGCACCACACATGCACATTTTGGTAGCAACACAGACGTTTGGTTAGGAAAATGGCAAAAAAAAAAATAAACAAATGATCTGATGCAAAAGTGTAGAAGCTAATGTAGAGTCCACATCAACATCTGATTTAATTAGTCTTGCTTGGACAAAGACCTGCCTCTTTTCTCCATATGTTGTGCCATAAGACTGGAATTATGGCAGATAAGTTACTAACTACTGATAATCATTAGATAGAATATCACTTCAGTATTCATTTAAACTTATAAATGACCACACAATGATGCAACACAAATCATGTGCTGGCAATTTCCCAAGACCTGTCTTTGAAGTAAAAGAGCTAACCGGTCAGCTCTCTGGTTCCACTGTKGCCACTGCAGAGAAGTGATTAATATTAGATTAAGGAAGCTAATGAGACTGTGGTTACAGGTTATTTTAGCAGAAGTTCTAAGATGCTGATTCATCAGTTTTGAGAGGRCATCATGGATGTGCAGTGATTAGCACTGCTGTTCCTGCAGAATAGAGTTTGCTTTATAAAAGCTTTCAAAATTATCACTACTTTGTTTTTATAAAAGCTCATTTCAGCTAACATTTGAGAAAAAAGTTTAAAAATGCAAACAAAAAGAAAGCAAATGTGATTTATTTAAAAGCTTATGTTGGGGTTGGCTGATGGCAGACACAAAATAGTTGACAAAATCGTTCCAATATGTATACACGTTTAATACACAAAAAACTAATCTTTCAAATGTTTTATTCCTTATTGCTGAAAAKAAACTATGCATTCAGTCTGATTTAGCTCTGACTTAATTTGTCCTTGAGTTTGTGGTAGTTCAGTGGTCAGTGTTGTGGTTTTATGATTCTGATGCTGCAGGTTTGAGCCCGGGTTGCATCAGGAAGGTCATCCAGCATAAAATAATTGCCAAATTTGTCATGCCAGTTTGCTCGCTGTATACAGAACGAAGCAACAGAAGTAAAAAAAAAAAAAAAAAAAAAATGCGCTCATCCACTCCCCAAGGTTTGAGTCCAAAATTGTTTAAAACAGCAAAATAAAAGACAAAAAATGGATACAGCAGAAGACTGTGTTGATGCAAGAAATACACCACACACAGCTGAACTATGACGCACCAGAGGACGAAACATCTTTGTTGCAACTTTAGTAACTTTAACTTTAGTCTGGTCTTGACTTAAAAATTAAACAGAAGCATAATAAATGCTACGAAGAATCTGAGACTTAGACGCAAATTTATAGTTAAACTATCATTGTAATAAATCATTTAATAAAGTGGATTGTGCTGCTGTGAAAGAATGGA